CCATCGCACAAAACGGCCTGTGACCATCTCCTGGCCTCCATTTCCGATAGCGTTCCCTATGGAGAAAACAATCAATAAAAAAGAAAAAAAACCAACCCACCTTTTACCCCAAAAAATACCCGCGCCCGAGACCTTCTGCGGGCGGTTGTTTCCCTAAGAAAAAATGTCGCCTGGCGAGACCCCTCTGCCCACGTCGCGTGGGGACTGGGGATGTCGCTTGCTAAAAAAGAAAGCCCCTCTATCCTTTATGATGGTCTTGCGCGGGCGGTTCGTTCATCGTACCACTGTTTCCTTACCGCTTCTATGTCTCTATGTTGATTACTATTCTCTATTTTTATTATGACTGTTCTGTGTGGCGGTGGGTCCTGCCTCTATTCCTGTGCTTGCCTCTCGTTATTGCTTTCCTTTCTTACCGTCCCTAGGGTCCCACCTACCCCAGGGCTCTTCTTGCTGCCGCCTCGCGGCCGCATGCCGCGTTGTAGATATGAGTATTCCCACGCAGCACCGCCGACAGGGTGTCAGCAATAATAAAGTCATACGCGTTCGTGACGGTCAGACGGTGATCCTGGTTTCCGAGGACTCGTTGTAGCCATTGCCGACTCGCCGGTAGTATGGAACCATTCGTTTGGATGACAAAAGGATCGAAATCCAAGTGACTGCCAATGGCCCAGTGCCTGTATTTTTGCCGCTTCTCAGTGAATCGGGTTCTGGCTGCTCGGAACGGGTCCGTGTCTTCAAGATTCTCCGGGTCCGCTGTGGTATAGGCTCTGCCCGGGTAGGTCACCGTGACGTCGGTGATGGCGTATGTGTCCAATCCGACCACGAGAATATCGGGTCGTCGTCGACTGACCTCCGTCAAGCGCGGTTCAAGCCCACACTGGAAACCACAGAGGCGAAGACCATTGGCGAAGGCCATGTTGATCATGTCGTGTCGGATGGTGCGTGGCTGTTGGTGTAGCCGTTCACAGGTGTGGACGTGGAAATTTGTCGCGTCTGCTCCGCATACGCAGCGTTGCCCCTCTGGTAGAACGCGTAGCAACAGCCGTTCGCGCAGGTACACGACAAAACTGCGGTCGTCCGTACGCACTTGTGGGTCGGTAAGTGGTCTGCCGGCGCCGGTCGCTCTGTTAGCGACGAACACCCTGCGATCAGGCCCTTGTAGGGATTCGTAAAGGTCGCATTGGCGTTCGATTTCTAACTCGGCGGTTTTCACTCGTTGCAGGCCCTTCTTTCCGAGGCACTCGTGCGCAAGTTCGGCAACGTCCACCTGCCTCCTCAGACCGCACCCTCCCATACGGACTGGTAAGGCAGCAATGTCGCGTGCACGTTTGGTGACCGGAAGGTCCAGGAGAGCACCCAGCACCTCCGTCACACGGTCGTCGAACCACGTTGCCGCCGCTCGAGTGTGTGCTGGTTTATGTGTGCGGAGCAAAAACGTCAACCTAGGAAGCGCCGAGACACTGAGGAGTCGCCACTGTGTGCATTTCTGGAACGGATATTCCACAATGGCTTTGAAGAGCCGGTCCGTTTCTTCGGCCTTCTGGCGGACAAAATCCGTGATGAGGGTGCTGTCCGGGTCCGCTGCCACCGCTGCCTGGTGCGAAGGTGGAGGCTGGTGGCGCGTTCTCGCGTCTTTCCCCTCGCGCCCGTCAAGTGGTTAAATACCTTCGAAGCGGCAACACGTTTATTGCAGCAAGGCGATAACTCCAATCAATGGGGGGCTTCGGAAACCACCGCAAATGGAAGAATTAGGCCAGGGTATCTGTCATTGCCTAAGTTGCGCCTCCAAAACGAAGATTCGCTGCGCGGCTTGACCCCACACTAACGCAAAAAAGCAACGGGGTTAAATGAGGCTGCGCCATCCTTGGATTACGTGCGTCCGCGTGCCGAGAGTAAGGGAAATTAAATCAATGAATCAACAAATACAGATAAAGTTTTTTTGCTGGTATAACGATTGATCTGAAGTTCAACCCAGTATCTTCTTAATATAGACGAAGGGCATTTATTAATGCACCACATGCATATGTTTCTACTTTGCATATTCTGATTCAATGTTTGCATGTCACTTTCTGCCCTTGCAACGGTTTACGCCACATCGACCTTTCATATTGTGTATAGTCAATGCTTTACTCCACCACCCTTCTTACAAAAGACAAAAATAAAAGAAAATAAACAAAATGGCCTCAGCACGTTGAGACTTATGGCGATCAATTTTCTAAGAAGCATATCCATGAATACAAGACAGACTCATTATACAAAAACATTACTGACGACGAAATGGAAGTTCAGAAAACTTCATCCTACCCAATTCCCGCACACGAGGCGGAGAGGAAAGAGTTGGATGAGATTCTCAAAAACACACACTTTGCGAGAACTCTTACAAATGGCATAGATAAACAAAGATTATTATTTATATTTTTCCAAAACACAAGCAAGACCACACATCTCCCTTCGCGAGCTGCTGCCGCCTGCCCTCCCGCCGAAAACCACAAAAAAGCAAAAAAAGCCCAGGTATTTTTCGACATTATATTAAAAAATCCAAAATGCAGTTTCTTCATTCATTTTCTTGCTGAAATGCAGTACCACTCACGAAAACCCTGCACCAATTACACAGTACAGGGATTCGTGTGTCCGCTGAGAGTTGTTCAGTGCAACGCTCCAGGTGATCACACCAATCCACCGAATTTCCACATGCCTTCACTTCCAAACGGAGAAAAGTAAAACTAGCAAACCAAAGCTCACCCATCTCAGCTACAACCCAATATCCACAGTACTGATAAAAAAAAATCATGACAACAGCAAAAACGAAATAGCTTCGCACCACACACACGCGCAAAAAAAAAAAAAATCACTGGAAAGATGATACCTAAACAGCAAAAATGAACCCGCATAGCAAAACCAATAATGTTTTCATAAGCCACCATTTACCAAGATTACCTCATTAAAAAAAACCTTCTTCTCTGTGAAAAGGCCAAACTACTGACCTTTCCAATTCTGGAAGAAGTATATATATATATATATATATATATATACCCCAAAATATTTCTCAGATAGTAGTTATAATCAAGAATACCCTAGCCTTACTCCCTCTTTAAAGAAATAAAACACAAGAGAAAAATATTTTGTTTCCATGATTGTTCAAACAAGTTTTGATGCATTATTTACATATCTCTATCAAATCTTTTCCCGANAAAGGAAACATGACCAGGGCAACGACGACGAGGATATGCAAACCCAAACACGAAAAAAATGGGACCCCTGGTGACGAGGTTGTGTGGACTTGTGTGTCTCTGCACTTGGGACCCCCCCCCCTCTAAGAAAAAAAAATAAAAAAAAAAAGAGAGTCCGAAGACCCTCCCTCCAAAATTTGCCAGAAGATATCCTAGTGTAAAGGGCTTGCACCTTATACACAGGTTATTCCTGGAAGCTTCTCATACCAATATAGTACAGAAACTGTATCAATAATTTTTTTTTTTTTTTTTTTTTTTTTTGACCGGTGCCCCAACCATCGCACAAACGGCCTGTGACCATCTCCTGGCCTCCTTTTCCGATAGCGTTCCCTATGATGAAAACAAAGAAACGAGAAAAAACTAACCAACCCTTACCCAAAAATACCCGCGCCCGAGACCCTCTGCGGGCGATTGTTTCCCTAAGAAAAAATGTCGCCTGGCGAGACCCCTCTGCCCGCGTCGCGCGGGGACTGGGGATGTCGCTTGCTAGGAAAAGAAAGCCCCTCTATCCTATAGAATGGTCTTGCACGGGTAGTTCATTCAGCGTTCCATCGTTTCATTACCGATTCTATTTCCCTATGTTGATTGCTATTCGATATATCTATTGTCATCTTTTCTGTGTGGTGGTGGGTCTTGCCTCTATTCATTTTCTTGCCTCTCATTATTGCTTTACTTTCGTACGTTTCCCAGGGTCCCACCTACCCCAGGGCTCGTCGTGCTGACCCCTCCCGGCCGCATGCCGCGTTGTATATGTGAGTATTCCCACGCAGCACCGCCGACAGGGTGTCAGCAATAATAAAGTCATACGCGTTCGTGACGGTCAGACGGTGATCCTGGTTTCCGAGGACGCGTTGTAGCCATTGTCGACTCGCCGGCAGGATGGAACCATTCGTTTGAATGACAAACGGATCGAAATCTAAGTGATTACCGATGGCCCAGTGCCTGTATTTTTGCCGCTTCTCCGTGAATCGGGTTCTGGCTGCTCGGAACGGGTCCGTGTCCTCAAGATTCTCCGGGTCCGCTGTGGTATAGGCCCTCCCCGGATAGGTCACCGTGACGTCGGTGATGGCGTATGTGTCCAATCCGACCACGAGGATATCGGGTCGTCGTCGACTGACCTCCGTCAAGCGAGGTTCGAGCCCACACTGGAACCCACAGAGACGAAGGCCATTGGCGAAGGCCATATTGATCATGTCGTGTCGGATGGTTCGTGGCTGTTGGTGCAGCCGTTCGCAGGTGTGGACATGGAAGTTTGTCGCGTCCGCTCCGCATACGCAGTTTTGCCCTTCCGGTAGAACGCGTAGCAACAGTCGTTCGCGCAGGTAAACGACAAAACTGCGGTCGTCCGTACGCACTTGTGGATCGGTGAGTGGTCTGCCAGCGCCGGTCGCCCTGTTAGCGATGAACACCCTGCGATCAGGCCCTTGTAGGGATTCGTAAAGGTCACATTGGCGTTCGATTTCCAACTCGGCGGTTTTCGTTCGTTGCAGGCCCTTCTTTCCGAGGCACTCGTGCGCAAGTTCGGCCACATCCACCTGCCTCCTCAGGCCGCATCCTCCCATACGGATCGGTAAGGCGGCAATGTCTCTTGCGCGTTTGGTGACCGGAAGGTCCAGGAGAGCCCCCAGTACCTCCGTCACACGGTCGTCGAACCAAGTTGCCGCTGCTCTGGTATGTATTGGTTTGTGTGTGCGGAGCAAAAAAGTCAGCCTGGGAAGCGCCGAGACGCTGAGGAGTCTCCATTGCGTGCATTTCGGGAACGGGTATTCCACAATGGCTTTGAAGAGCCGGTCTGTTTCTTCGGCCTTCTGGCGCACAAAATCGGTGATGAGGGTGCTGTCCTGGTTCACGGCCACCCCCGCACCGAGCACGCGGGCAAAGTCTAACGGTTCCACTGGCAGGCCGGTCAACCCCCTGGGGTCGAGCACCTCCGTTTTCTCACTGTTGATTTCGATACCGAGACTTTCCATCTCCTTTGTCGTGGCCTCCACTACCTCACGCATCTTGTCCGGCGGCGCGGCAATCGTGACATCGTCGAGGTAAGCTGTAAAGGCCGCTGTGGGAAATTTGGCTTGGAGACGTTTAAGCGCAGCCAAGGTACCGATAGAAAAGAGGACCGGGCCCAGCACCATACCCTGCCGGACCCCACGGGTAGACTTCCACGAATGCACCATCTGTCCCTTGTCGTAGAAACCCACCACCCCAGGCGCTCCCAGCAGCAGCCGTGACACCGACCATAGCGGTTGCCACACCTCATCGCCGTAGGTCGCCTTGAGGATTGCTGAGCGGCTAATGGCGTTGTACGCATTCCGGCCGTCCAGCATCGCCACACTTCCTCGGACGCGAAAGTCTTTACGAATCTTTTCGATGGCGAGTTCGATGTTATTGCCGACGCCAAATTGCAGATCCTTGAATCGCGTTTGTAGAGCTGGCATCACCGTACCCACCGCCAGTAGAGATATCGCTTTTGCCCAGACACACTCCGCACCGATGGGTCGGAACTTTTTGTTTTTCTTCCGAAGTACGGTGAGGCTGGTGGCCCGCAGGCGGTGTGCCACTTCCGGCGGCACTTGGCCATTCGCCATGTCCGTCAAAAGCGTCGTCAGTTCCACCAGAAGTTGTTTGTCACGTGTGAGTGGGCACAAGAGTTCCCGGGTCCATCCGTCCAGACCGGGTGAAACCGCTCGAGCGAGCGTGTGGTTGATGAGACGTGACACATCTTTCGCGTCTAGTGTGACCAGGGGTCCCGTCACCGGTGGTGTGGGGTAGGTGCTCGGGTCCTCCTGGGGGTACAGAGCGTCCAAACTCTGCACCATCTCTTTTGAGTACTCCACCGGTGGCGCATCTTCCGCTGTGAGAAGTGACGCCGCCCGTCCCGTCGCTTGGAGCATGCACATGGTTTCGATGCGCCGGACCTTTGCCCGGACATGTGCTGGGAGACCATCTGGGTCGCCCTCCGCGTTGTCACTTATGGGTCGTTCGATTTTCTCGCCCACCGTGACTGCATCCCGCGGTGCTCCGGCGTTATCCTCGGGAAGTGTAGTGCGCGTATCGCGCGGTTCTTTTTGTATACGGAGGTGTTGTCGGACCAAGTCGAAAATTTGGACCTGTTTTCTCCAACGTTCCTGGTTTTCGGATGCCGTGTATCCTAGGAACACCGTCCGACACACATCCAACCAATTTGGCCACTCCCTTTTGTGCAGCCACCGGCGTGTGGGGATTCGCTGATGGAGCCAGGGGTCGGTGAGCGGGTCCGTGTGCCTCTCCGCCGGCCAATCGGTGGAGGCGGGGGTCTCCCGCACCACCGCCTGTTGTGCATACTTTCCTCCCGTGGATGCGCGGAAATGGTCGCGAGCTTCTCGTGACCGGTCGGTTCGAGTCGAGAATTGCCCGCAACGGGTGAGATGGGCGGTGCGTGCCTGCTCACTTGCCGAAAAAATTTCACAGCACGTCTCGCATCGTACGAGACCTTCCGCCTGTAAGTCGTCACTGGGGATTTCGCGCCGTTCCTGTTTCGTATGCTTCGTGTGGATGTGTGAGCGCAGAAGCTCACCGCGGCGTTTATGTTTGAAAACCTTGTGGCAGCACCCGGCCAAACAGCGCAATGGCCGTGCCAGAGGTGTTTTTACGGCGTGGCTGAAAACCACCGGGCCTCCGGAGGGTCGTTGCCCCTGACTCGTGCGGGTCCCAGTTTGGTCGGTGTGTGGGGCCCCCTCCTGGGTTTCCACCAGTGAGTCCTCTAGGTGTTGTGACGTGGTGGATTCTGTGTCCTCCTCGTCGCTATCATCGTCCTGTGTCGCGAGAAAAGGGTCGTATGGTGTTTGTGTTTCTCTCCTGGGGGTGGCTTGGTGGGCCTCCCCCTGGGTCGCTGTAGGGTGCTCCTCGTCCTCCTCCGCGGCGTCGTCGTTCTCACGAGGGCGTTTGTGACTTGTAGCTTCCTCGTTGGCGGTGGGATCATCAAAATGACCAAATGCATGGCGGCCAAATTGATCTCTGGGGGTAGCTGGTGGTGTCAGGTGTTCTTTTGGTGCCGTGGCGTGTTCCTCCTCCTCGTTGGCCGCGTCGATTTCTGCCTCTTCGCTTTCCTCATCGTCATCTTCGGCCAACTCTTCTGCCGTTTCCACCCGCCGATAAAACAGCAACACTGCTTTGGTCGGGTCGAGTCCCTTGGGAGCTCGCGTGTGCGACATGCCGTCCACCACATCCCATATATTGGATCCCGGGTTGATGGGCAGGAACGTCGCCACATGCTTGTCGGACGTCGTGGCCACCACTCCCATCAGGACGTATTCCGCACTACCGTTACCGTGCGGTAGGTCGATGGAGGTCGGGACCTGCTCTGCGCCGACGACGTGTGAACCCCAGCTGTTCACGTAGATCGCAACCGCGTCACCAAACAGTTTCGTGGTGATCACGTTGATCGAGCTGGGTGGGTGTATTTTGCTTTTGGCACTCCCATCACATGACCGAGTAGAGTCTAGCTCCTCATTGTAGTAGTATTGCCGAAGGGATGCCGATGTGATCGTGATCGGTGCATCTTTTTCCGGGGAGATCGAGATGATACCCCTCTCTATCATGCCGAGGTCCGGTGTGTCCTGAGTTGCTGCTCCACACCGCTTGCAACATGATGCCACGACGATCTTACTGGCAAACAGTGCTGCCACCGCTGGATCGTTGGCCATCATGGCTTCCAACGCTGTGACCGGGGCCATGGGCGTGAGCACATTCAGTGCGGTCACAAACTCCGCCGTACTGTCCGCTGATGGGTCGACGTATGGTCGACGTAACTCTGGTGCAAATCGCCCTTCTTCTGGGTAGAGCGAGAGTGCCGCCAATGTCGATGTCACCGAGCATGCGTGATCCGCTGGCCAGATCTTAGGTCCATGTGGCCTTAGCTGGTATGGTGTGCTCCATCGGAGTGCAGCGTGGGCCGCTTTAAAGTGGTCCGCCACCGCTCCCATCCGTGGACTGGAAAAAGCACACACTCGGCAGTGGTAATTGTTCTCACCATGCCGCATGGTTGTCCACCATGTCGCTCGTTTGCGACACTCTGTGGCAAACATTTGAAACTTGTCTTGTATCACCTTCAGTTCCATCGCTTCTCTGGCGAAGGAATCGTCCATCGGGGTACGCCATGTGACGCGTCGTTTCACCGGCGCCGCCTGTTTGTGTGCTAACTTGCGTGTAGCCGGTTCAGCGTGGGGTGGTGCCCACTGTGGTTTGTGTGGGTATTGTGGGCGTATCTCGTTGGCCGATGGTCGTGGTGGAAACGGATGTGGTGGACGTGGACCTGGGTTCACCTTCCGTTTCATTGGCTCTTTCGGTTGTCGAGCCACCTGTGCCCATGTGGTCTTCGTCACTGGTGGTGGTGTCGACTGTGTCGATTGCAGTTGTTGTTGCAACGTCTTGGTCGTCACATTCGCCGTGCCACGTGGCCACTCTGTTGGTGACCATCGTGTGGTCTTGTCATTTTTCGGGAGGTCTCGACGTTCCCGAGGTGGTCGTCGTGGGGCCTGATATTGGTTCTTGGTCTCCTTCTGGAGTGCGGCAAGTACTGTCTGCACTATGCGTGTGATGTTCGCCGTCTCCGAGTACCGCGTTGCACTCTGGTATGGTCCTGTTTTCATCTCGTTTTGACGATCTGAGCCTCCCAGAAAATGTGGTCTTGGTGATCCGCGATTGTGGGTCCTTTGCGTCAGACCCCTGCCTCTCAGATCCTGGGCCATGGAGTTGGGTGGTGGTGCTGGTGTCCCGGGGGGGGGGGGTCCAGTATTGAGTAACCAACTCGACTTTGAAAAATCCGGGTGGATTTTTGTCAAAATTTTTCCGAAATGGAAAAACTTCGTCTAGTTGTGCACGATGTGTCCTCAACGGTTTTGTGCTAAAACCGATTGTATTGAACTTCTTTCGCGAAAATCTACCTTCCGAGTATAGGTGCGTACACTTTTTGAGACGTGTATCAATAACTTTTCACGATGTCAAAGGTGCAAAAAAGGTATTTTTGACACCCCCTGTGATCACGATATTTGACCTCTAGAGTGCTGTAGGCTAAGCTTGTGTGTTGGTAAACGAAGTGAACGATGATCTAACCTCTTTATCGGCCTTGTAGCTATTACCAATGCACACTGTTAG